TGCCTTTTCTCGTGCCAATACCAGATATTGGATTTTCTAAATAGAATTTTCTTACATTTTTAATTTTTGTCGTTTGTAATGTTTTAATTATTTGGAAATTTATTTTAATTGTCTAAAAAACTGTTCCAAATTAATAAAATGTTGCTGCAGCACTGATTGTGTATACTTAAAACGTTATTTCGAAATTAACTTTGCAACTGCAACAGTTCGTATTTAACCTTTTGTATTTAACTTTGTGTAAATTAATTCTTTTTATACAACAAAATTAATTGCAGGTTTGTTTTGGTTATGATTTAATAATGTGAAGTTTAATTTGCAAAATATTATAACTTTAAAGGTGTATAAATCCAAAAATTACATTTAAAATTAGGAATAGATTTATCGGGTAAATAACTGCCTAATTTCTATGCCTGTGTTTGAAGAAATATTTTCGATTACTTTTATCTGTGGATAAGTAATATCCCACGGAACTCTTTCAGGTTTGAATTTATATTTCAAGTTGTTCATCAAATGGCATCAAAAATCGGATTTCTCAAACCGAATGGAGTTTCTTCTTGAATTCAATGATGATTTTGTTCAGTCGACTTTATATATTTTCTTCAATTGTTAGACAGTCCTAATAAATAATGGCAAAAATTGTCTTACGATTATTTTGAGTCTATAGAATTTCCTCTTAGAAAGAGCTGCAACTGCTGCACTTTTATTATACATACGTCATGAAGCCCGCTTACGAAAAAAAATCCACAATAACAAACATGAAAGACCGGATGAAACGGCAGGAAAGAAAACATTATGAAAAATTAAGCGCTTACTGGCTAACGTTTACTAAGAATGACTTAAAACTAAATCTGCTATGTATAGTATCTATAGACAAAACTGGCTGGTCTTTGCAGAAATGTTTATCTCTTTTAACTGAGTGTTAATTTTATTTACGATTCAGAAGAAAGGGCTACATAATTCTAACGTTCTATTTACGATCAAAGTTTTTGGCTATTGGTGATGCTGACATTAATTTCAGGTTCAATAAGAATGTTACAAAATGCTTATTGTTCGCGTAAGTTTATATTAAAATTAGTTCAAATTTAGAATATACTTTACATATATTAGTGTGGTTAATTAGTTGTTTGATTTTAACTTGAAAGAGAGCACTAAATATATATGAAATAAATTTCAAGAACTTTTAGAAAATGTTTTGAAGTAAATGACGATATTTTGAAACATTTATTCACACTGTAACAACCAAAATGCACATTTATGAAACCTTTTGTAAAATGTTTTTTAAGTTTTAATTATATTGATGCCATAAATTGTAGGCAAATAAAAATCGGATTACAGCCGTTGGGCTGTGTGGCAAAAAATATGTACATTACTCATTTTTTCAATGTAGCACGATCCTCCTGACTCACTCTCTTTTATTCCATGATTGAATAAAAATTGAGATGTTCTTAATAAGTGAATCGCTGTTCAATTTGCGAATTAATTGCCTGAAACCCCAGAAAATGTTAGCAAGCACAATTTAAAGTGTAATTATAGTGGACAACTGCTGCACAATGTCCCAATTTAAGGTTTCTATTTAAAGTGTTACGTTTATTACGTGGATTCAGATCTTATCATGTGTTTCTGGTATTTAAATTCCGCCTTATTGACATGAAGAAAGCATCACTAAAAATTACACACTGTAACTAAATTATGCAAAAACTTATGCATTAAACGCATTACCTGTGATTTAAATTTCACCTAAGAAAGAAAAATAATACTACAATGGAACCAAGACAATTAGTATTTAGCTTAGTATGAAATATGAACAAACAGTTAAATTTTAAAATTATTGCAGTTAAACGTCTGTTGATATCCGTACTAGATCGACCACTAGAAAAGGTTCTCTATGTTCTCGTTATAGCTAATTGGCTCGTCATTAAAGTCCTTCGGTGGTGACAATCAGTTGCGATAAATATGCATCATTATTAAGTGATTCGTATAAATAAAGCCAAAACCGAAATACAAAAATTATGGAACTGATGAAATCCTTGCTAAACTTTGCATATTCAACTTCTGAAATGCAATATTACTTTCACATATTTTATTTACAAAAATGTGTTTAGCTGCGATTAGGATAATTAAGGTGATGGCCACTGGAATCATTTAATAACAGAAAACATTGAATAAATGCTATTTTTATCTGACGTCCATTCTTATTGTCTATATTTATTGACGCCCACACTTCGAACTTGTTTAAAACGAAACACTTTTAGTTTCAGCACTAGTCTACTCAAATAAGCTCGCATTTATCGGGTTCCAATATTATGGTTTATGTAATTGGGCGCAACGTCGATAAGGAGTGAACCATTTTTGCAGACAGTACCTGAATCCCGAAAACTAGAAGCCACTAATAAATGGAATTATAAATTAGAAACCAAGTCACTGTTGATGGCGACAGCAAGTAAATCTGCCATGGCGAACGGTCGTTTGCGGTGAATATTTTGACGTGGAGACGTTCTTTTCCATCGCCATTAAATATTCAGATACTCAAATATCAGCARACCAATACAGTTCTAAAGAACGCATACGCGATGCGAGTACGCCCACTATAAGCTCTGCGTACTCGCAGAACGCAGCGTCACAAAAATATTCGGTGGACGACGGTTTTCGAAAACTAGCTGATAACCAAAAAAATCCAACTCAACCACCCCGGAAGAATCCTGCAAGAAGACAAACACAAATCCTATGGACAATGTAAAACAATACACACACAACAAGCAATCTAACAACAGACCAAGAAAGTTCAATTCAGGAGAAAAATTTACTCTGAAATTGAAATTATGCTAAATATTAGGTACCTTTGAAAATCTTATCGTAGATTGCAACAATTGCGTTGTTAAAGCTTGGTTTGATCAGTTAAAGGTCGTATTTTCCATGAATTTTCTAATGGTCATGCTGTTATTGGAGACACCAGTAATTAGAATAGTGGAAAAAGTCTAAAGGAAAACATGGTCACATGAGATTAATCTAGCTCGTCGTAACTGAAAAATCCTGGAACCTCCCAGAAATTTCCTATTAAAGTGAGTTTTTTGTCACTTTAAGCAGCGGATTTTTGCTTTGGAGTTATATTATACGCCTTTTTCTAGTAAAGTTTTCGAAAAATGTGTGTTTTTCAACGGCCAATCGCCTCACCTTAATAACTGAAAAAATCCTGGAAACTCCCAGAAATTTCCCATTTAGGCAAGCTTTTTTTCTCATTTAAAACAGCGGATTTCCGCTATCGATTGATGTTATGGGCTGGATTCAGGCATTTTTGGTTTTTCCCTGACGCATTTTTGGAATACTCATGTTTTCCATCGGCCAATCGCCTCACCTTCAAAACTCAAAAAGTGGAAACTCCCAGAAAGATCTTATTAAAATGCATTTAAAGCAGCGCATTTTTTCTTTCGAGTGATTTTATGAGCCAAATTGTTGGATTTTGGCTTTTGCTCGTCCAATTTTTGAAAAATCCGTGTTGGTCAACGACCAATCGCTATTTAGTATTTGAAAGTCCTAAAAACTGCCTGAAATTTACTAAACAAGTGAGTTTTTCCTCATTTGAAGCCGCAGATTTTCTCTGTCGGGTGATATGCTGGGCAGGCTTGATATATTTTTGGTTTTTTCTTAACAATTTTTTAAAATTCGTCTATCTATACCAACGCCAATCGCTTCCCCTTGTAACTGAAAACATCCTGAAAATTCCCAGAAATTTCCTATTCAAATGAGTTTTTCCTCACTTATAGCAGCCGATTTTTTTTCTTTCGACTGATGTCATAAGCCTCATTCAGGAATTTTTGGTTCTTCTTTGGTGCAGTATAAAAAGACCGTGTTGTCCGACGACCAGTAGCTTCGATTTAGTATCTGAAAAAATCCTGACAAATTCCCTGCAATTTCCTAATCAAATAAATTTTTCCTCATTTGAAGCTGCAGATTTTCTCTGTCGGGTGATATGCTGGGCAGGCTTGATATATTTTTGGTTTTTTCTTAACAATTTTTTAAAATCCGTCTATCTATACCAACGCCAATCGCTTCTCTTTAGTAACTGAAAACATCCTGGAAATTCCCAGAAATTTCCTATTCAAGTGAGTTTTTCCTGACTTAAATCAGACGATTTTCTCTTTCGGGTGATGTTGTCGGCAGCGTCCAGGAATTTTTGGTTTTTCCTTGACGAATTTTTGAAAAACTCGTGTTTACCAACGGTTAGTCGACTCCTGAAAATTTCCTGTAAAAGTGAGTTTCTCAAAAAAAATCAGCCAGGGTCAGTAATGGTGACTTAACTCGTGTTTCAACGTTCATGTCCAAAGAAAATAATCATTTGTGACAAAAACATAAATAATAATAATGAACTTATTGAAATATGAAATGTAAAATATAAAATTAATTATGAGGAAACAACTAAACAGTGGATGATATCAAAGATCTCAACTAATAAGACCAAGAAAAGCTAGCATACAGAAATCCAAGAAGACACAAAAGAACATTTGAACATTTACTGTGAATTATGTTAATCACGATCATCACTTTATTATTTGTAAAGGATAAATTATTTTTCAGTTAATACTTGCTTTAAACTGGGTTTTAAAGTCATTTTCAATTATGTGGTATTCATAAATTTGAAAAATGCCCTTTTCCACTTTACTGGCACGACAAAGATGTTGTTTTTTTTTAAGAACAGTCAACCTGTGAAACTTTCCGGGTTACTTTAATTTTTAGGTCGTACGACGTAACATTTATAGACTTTCCTGTAATCCTACTAGTTTACATATTTAGCAGACATCGCAACTATAATAATAAATAAGCCAGCTAGTGCTCACTTGGTTTGAAGCACTTGGTATAAAATCAATCCGCAACTAGTCGGCAATTAAAACAACAGTTCGCCATGCTGCGTCTTCCTCCGAAGAGAAAAATACTGACGAGCAAGCAAGCATCGAAGCCAAAGAAGAACAAATGGGGGGCGTCCTACGAACACACAGGTGCCCGATCTAGGCCAATTCCGATTGTGGGGATGTAGGCCGGCTATATACCACAGAGAGAATTGCGAGCCCGCAGTTTTTTCAGGTGTATCATCGATAGTGTTTTGTGAGTTAACCCAAGGTAAGTTGCTTCTTCAGAGTCGATTGTTGTTCATTTTGGGAAATTTTGTCCATCCACTTCGCTCTAAACGCAAAGAGGTTCTTCTATCAAATTTCCGTATCATTATGTATTAGTGTGCTCTCTTTGCAGTGAGGATTACTTGTGGGTCACCGGTAAGTCTCGTCAAATGCATAATAACACTGATCTTGTAATTTCAACGCTAAATGAAGCAGTTGAAATCAAAAATTTACTTGACAATTCTTTAGTTAATAAAGATCACCAATTGAACAAAAAAATAAATTATATAAGATTAATTAAGAAGTAGACAACGATTATTAAAAACCAGTAGCTACAGATATCTAAATAAAAAACACATCTTCAGCTTCTTATATACTAATAATACATAATTTAATAATAAATAAGTAATATAATAGAGATTCTGAACAATACCAACTTAGATAAGATATTTGAATATAGAAATGGAATATTTCATGAAAAAACAGAACGGTACATTTTGGTACATACTGCAATGCTTTTCTGCTTTCTCCAGTTTAGACGGATTTCGCTCCATGTCAATTACTTATTTCTACAAGGTTTGCCTTTGTAAATTTCCAATACCAAAAACTAACGAATCTTGGAACACATCTGGATACACAAACATTTGACTAAAAAAGACGTTACTGATAGCGGTATTTATGTCTTATAGTCTTTAACTATCTTTTCCTACACATGATAGATTATATTTTCACGACAGTTACTTTCTAAGAAATAAATAAATTGGTTATAAATAAAGCTATTACTTATAATTACTTGTTAATATGGCTAGGTAGTAACCTTTAAACGAAGAACAAACGCATTACAGTGTCGAAGAATTAAGTTTTATATCATCATAAGCGTACAGAGGTTAAGGATTTGCTTATGTCTAAAAGCACTTAATCCAGTTAGGTGTACATTTTTTCTACTATGGCCGTGTTGAAAAAATGAGTATATTAAATATGCAATACTGCACTTTTAATAAAATTCGTTGAGGTTCAACCGATTTTAATGTTAATTAAGCTTTTAAAATTGAAGGAGTTGAACTCTCTTGAAGAAGACTAACGCATCTTTAACTGAAAAAAATTAATTTAAAGTTTGAACGCTTGAAACTTCCTTTGTATTGGTCTATCAAATAATACTCTTCCAGCCTAATTTTCTCCCTAGATTTTTTCAAGGCTTTCAGTCTCTTTCCATGTATTCAAATTTTTATTAAACATCACAATTGTGTCTTCTTATTTTTTTTTGCATGGTTTACGAGATTTTTTTTGTAAAAAGCCAAAAAGTTGTCTAGACGGATAATATTGAAATTTTCGGTATCTCGTATATTATTATAAAGCAATATCGAACTGTTCTCTTTAGACTTCAATTTATTATTTCTCGATCGTTGTTGAATTGAATTATTAAGGAACTGCAAACTTCCTACGTAGTGCTTACGAATGTCAAGGTCGGAAAGTAATACAGATTCAACTTCATTACTATTTTTAAATTACAGGAGTTTTCTATTTTTATCAATATCAATAGGAATTATCAAGCAAAGATGGTCATTAATGGCATGTAACTGATTTAAGAACATGTTGTTGGCTCGAAAGACGTCCATGTTGATTTAATCATTTTGAACTCCTGAACACATGACAAGGTCTGAGCAGTTAATAAAAAACCTGATAAAAAACATACAATTATGCCAAAACTAGTGCTGAAAATATTAGCAGTAAATGAATCAGATGGTGTCGACTTCAATTCAGTGTTGAAGACGTTCAAATGACAATAGAAAGGCGCCCGTGATACCTGATTGATGGCACTAACCACATTATTCTCACTTTCGTAGAAAGTGGCGTAATTAGTATTTACAACAATACGATTTCAAATAATTAGCGACAACAAATATATTTTTAAACCGCTGTGCGACGGTTTTACAAAAAACATCTATTTTAGAAAATACATGGAAAAAGCAAGATCTTATTCGAATAACTTTGAGCTTTTCGCGTACTGTCTTGATTTGATTGTCTTCTTATTTTTTTAAGTTTTAAGTTTTTATAATCGAAAACTGTTGCAGGTCATAGTGTATTAATATACGACGTGTTCAAGTACATTTTTCCAAATAAGTTTATCAAATCAAAGTGCGTTGGTCAAAAGGCAAAAAATCAGTATGATAAAATAATTCCTATAAAATGTAATACATTGCTGTGGGCATGATAAATTAATAAACTTTTTGTGGCAAAACATGTAATTTTAACATGTAACATTTAATTATTAGTGCATATAAACATTAACTTACTGATAATGAAAAAATTGAAAATACCACTTTTTAAATCATTTATGAAAGCCTCCACTTATGTGAAATCGAAAGAATATTTTACATGTAAACAAAAATGTTTGCTACAAATTTTGTACTATTCTAATTCTACTTAACTGGCGGTGATGTAGATAGAAAACTTGTAATAATAAAATTATTATAATCGTAAAAAAATTCAACTTTGTTATGATAATGTTCTATTTTTGGTGTGATGTGATTCTTAAAAGCTTATCTAACACATACATAACTTTTTTGTAACACATATTTAAGTACCAAATTTTAGCGCACTTATTTAAGTCAGATCTTTTCCACTTCTTTTAATATTTCAGTAAAATGGTATGCAAACAGAATATCCATGAAATCAATCAAAAAGAAATTACACATACAAAATACAAAAAAAATGAATTAAAATGTGAAAATATGAAATAGCCATATTGTAGTAAAATGAATTTATTACATACACGTCCGTTTATAAGTCCGATTCTAGAAAATATGCTTATGAAAGGTATGTGAAATCGCACGAACAAACACAGAAATACTGTTATCAATGTTGCGAAATATATTAATTAGAAATCGCCGACGTTTTAACTCTGATCTGGCTGAGACGCATGAAGATGCATCGCAATGCAAGAAGTCAACAAATGCAGAAAGAATGAGGACTGGAAATATTCATATAAAAGCAATATGGCCAAATTTAACAAATCTGTACTTGTCTTATAGTTATGAATAGTTTACTTTTGACTTATTATATCACTGAATATTTGTTGTTTAGCAGTCTTAGCAGTTCATTAGATCGTTTTTTACTTTTTCCTGCGGTTTTTTGTTTCAGTTGGAGAACTTTTAATCAACTTGTACCCTGTCGCATCCAGGCAAATTGTATGTTTTTTCGCTATCTTAAGTTTATGACTTACTTAGTCATTCTTGTTTCTTATCCTCAAAACCAAGACACCCCAAAAAGAGTTTTATTTTAGAGTTAGGACAAAATTGACTGTGCAACATTCATTTTGTTGCGCAGTTTATTTTCCGCATATAAAATTTATGACATAAATAAATGGACTTGATAGTAAAAAGCCATATGAAACCCATGCATAGGAAATTTAATTTCAAGGGAAAAGGCTTCTGTTTCTGCATGTCTGGAAAGGTTCGCTTAGGATCTAGACCTCAATTTATGGCAAAGCCTAACGAACGCTGTAGCATGAAAAGAAAGTTTAATTTTTGCAACTAAATTCCAAATTTACCTGAAACAGTATTTGGATCTGCACTCTACTGGTTTGATTAATTTTATATTATTTGGTGCAAAAAAAACGTATTCAATATTGTTTTTTTTATATATTAAATAACTTTGCAGATTCTACACGAAACGCTTCCTGACTTTCAGTTACAAGAACTGTTTTGCTTAAAATAAAATAATCTCTCCATGGTTTTCAATTGGCACTTTTACCCCCAACTCATCGTGTACATCATTTACAAGCTGAGTTCATCTGATGAGATATGCTAACCGGTTTAAAACCGATCTAAAGAGTTTCTGTCGGTGACCCAGCTAAAAATCGGTTATTTTGCCAAAAATGTGTCACACTGATCAGATATTCTTCCTTCTTTGACGAAGCTTAAAAAACTTGCCATAGAAGAAATACTATATGTTTAGAGTTAAGCAAATGTTGGCCATCAGACGGAAATTTAGATACCTAGCAATTTTTATTAAATAAAGCAGTGAAATGCTGCAACCAAACTCTTGTATGCAGTAATAAAATGAAACTATCGCCTGCTACTTAATTATCGTGAATCTGCGTCGAAAACAGCGTTTACTCAATGCACAACAAATGTGTATTATTATGTCGGTTAGTGAAAATTTCATAATCTTTGTCAGAATACGGCTATGGGAGCAAATGTTTAAATGAGTCTTTCATAATATGTGGGCACCTTCAGCTTGCAATAATTCACATTGAAGATTAGCGATCAGTGAACAGTACACTGCAGGCAACATAAAAATGAACTATATTATTTGCCATAAAACAATAAACACTTCTAGATGGCAAGTAAGATATTTATTGTGCAGTGTGATTGGCGTGAAGCTGTGATTTATTTTACAGTATTCTTAACACACTTAAAACAAATAATTTGGTCTGTGGAACCTTCTTCTTACAAGGATTTGCTATTTTCTCAAGTGATTACGAAATTCGCTTCTGCAACGAGTGATTATGTCCGTCCTATTAAATTAATAGGCATGACCAATTCACACGTACTTCACAATTAAACTATTAAGTTCAGATTTTTCTCTTCAGATCCAAGAGCATCGCATACATCGTCCAAAAAGATCCTTGTCTGGAAAACATCAAGTAAATTAAGAAGCGAAAGCGCTTGCTCATTATTATTAGTAATTTTTTCAGGTAATCTATACGAGATGTACTTATTAAGCCTGCTGTGAAGTAACGCTGATGCAATGATAGTAATCGACGTAATTTAAGTGTGCTTCAATTTGCAAATAATCAATCAAAATAAGTAGTATTTCGCATTTCACACATCGAAAACAACGTTAGTTCACTTTTTAGATTTTACTTAAATTGTTGCAACACTAAATATACATTGTTTCAATAAACAATAGTAATTTGGTGGATTAATGGTTGAAACTTTACTTGCGAATTTTAAATTGGTGTTAATTTTTCCAAAATTGCATGAGAGAAAATTGAACAGTACATTTAGTTAATCATTGTTTGGTAAATTGCAAGATTCGTTTCTATTCAACAGAACTACATGGTTGCACAAGTTTGTTTTTAAGTAGGTTAAACGTTGCACGAGATGATTTGAGATCCGAATTCGTCGAGGTTTTCAGATGAAGCGAATTAA